TACCTGGAACGGGAGGTGGGGGTCGTTGTTGGCAGATCTAAGGCGGTGGTCGGTTGACTGCCCGGTATCTTTCAGACATATTTATCGTGAGGCTAATTGGGCTGCCCACTTTATGGCAAGCTACTTTCCTGATGGGGATGAAGTTATTTCCTACTTTCGGCCCATTGAGCTTCCTGTTTTGGTTCATAGGTCCATCTTGGCGGATGAATTACAACTTTCTTATATTAGGCGTTACTAATTCTTTGTTTCGGCCCATAGTTATTTTGTTGTAACTATGGGCAAGGTTTGATCCCCCATGGTTTTTTCTACTTTCCGTATTTCTTTTACTTTCGTCTCATGTATTGTGGAAGATATGCCTTGCGGAGAGGTGTTTAATCCCCCTCTCCGTTTGTATTCGTTCTTTTTCTCATCAATAAAACTCGACAAGTGTTTCCCGGCATTTGCCCCACTGATTTTGGTGGTTTGCCTTCCGGGTTAAAAAAAATAGAGAACAAAAACATGTTACGGAGTATTTGCTACTAAGAATATCAACACTAAAATTCCAGAAATTTCTTTCACCCATTTATCATTGACTGGAATTCTCTCAAGCTTTTCCCAAGTTCTCCCTCACTTCCATGTAACTCTATTCCATGTAACTCTACCCTCACTCATGAGTTTTTCCTCTATTCCAGGTAACTCTACCCTCACTCATGTGATGTTCAAACAGGTGGGCAGCCTAAAATCAATTCAGTATATTCTTCACGGCTTTCTGAATCGAAGGAAAGCCAATCAATTCCTTTTCCGCTCTTATCTTATCCTAGAAAGAAGAAAATATGTTTATCTTAGAAAGAAGAAAAGAGCTAAAGTCTGGAATTAGTGTTATCCTTGACAAGTAAAAATTTAAATATATTTTGAATAGGAAAGAGCTAAAGTGTACAATCACTGTAGTCCTTCGCAACTTTCTTAACATAGTAATTTCTTGCTGAGTAACATTTTTTTTTCATTTTTTCCTATTTATTTATTATCAAATATAGAAGGGAAAGTTCCCGAAATAGGATACAGAGTTTGAAAATTCCAAAATAGGACTGTTATGTTTTTATTCCCAAAATAGGAGTAATTATTGTCAAGTTTCGAAAATATTGTCATGTTTGAAGTCTGTGGTACTGCCAAAACATGACAGGAATGTGTCCTATTTTTGGAATAAAAACATGGCAGTCATATTTTGGAATTTTCAAACTTTTTAGTCCTATTTCGAATAATATCTCAGGAACTATTAAACATGTATGTACAAACTTATTTCACCGTTAAAAAATCCTAATTCTTATGTGGTGACGTGTCTAAGATGGAATATCATTAACATGGTTTGTACGGTGATTAATATAGTGAGAGCTTATCTACGATTTTTGTAAAAAAACTTTAAATTTATCTAAACATTTTTATCTTTTCCCTTAAAATTGGCAAGCAATCTTAGACTATTAGCAATCCATTACCATGTTACTACATGCTTAATTTTTTTTAGAATGATTTAATTACGATAGATTTCTTTCATCACAAGTTATTTCTTCTTTTGTATTCTACAATTAGTTTGTAATAAGTTTATATATAAAAGGATTTATTATGATTTGAGGCCACTTATGGTTTTTTCACACTTCCTATTAGAATTCAACTATGTTGACTTTTCTACATGTTAACATGCTAAATGCTAAAGAAATCATATCAAATACATATACATCATACTAAGTACATAATTTGCAACACAATTTATTGGGCACTCACCTTTTCGCGCAACGCGCGTGTATAAAACTAGTATCTTAAATAGATTTGAACCACATAGATTGCTCGAAGCCTCGAACTTTCACTTTCAATTTCAATTTCAATTTCAATTGGGGATTAAACAAATCAGATGCGTAGTGCTTGGAGTATAAAAGGATCACTTACAAAGCATGATTTATAATTGTAGTTTTCTTTGTAGTACTTAGAGTACAATATTGAGCACCACCAAATTAGAATTCCTATGCCATTTTAACCAAGGAAAAGCTTTGCTATCGCGGGATCATGAAGTTGCTTAGAAATGTGTTTGCCGCACTTTGAGAAGAGCAACATACATGGACAGTCAGACCCAAAGGCGGAGTTTATGGAAGTACAACACGAACTCTGTTCATTGCCGCAACTCAGAGTGATCACATCATCTACCTGGAGACATCTACCCGCAAATCTTCCCAAAAGGAGATGACTATTCTTTCCTTCAGATTCCTGAGTAAGTGTAAAAAACGCCTTTTAAAATCAGAAAATTACTTTTATTCAATACTTTAGACTTCTGAGCTTTTGCTTCTACATCACAGCAGAAGTAATATCAAATTTTGTAAACCAAACAACACAACATAATCTCATATATTCACATAAAACTTACAATCCCTTATAAACTGTACTCCTATCATCTAAGGTCTCACAGTCCTGGCCTGAAACAAAAGCTCCCTATACGTGACTTGGTGAGTTGTGTGATGCATTGGAGTAGAACAGTAATTCGACACTTACCGTTTTCAAGTGTGGTTGTTTCGTTTTGAAAATTTTAACACAGAGTTTGACTTTTGGGCCGACAAAGAGTCACTTATACAACCTTGGATTGTTAAGGTCGATATCATTCAGAACTCTATCGCTCTTCCTACGAACTATCCATTAGAGTTTTAATCTCTTATATCTAAATTAGGATTATAATCGTACACTTATTCTAAAGATTAGAATTTTCATATCCATTAACTGATAGACTAATACTACCATCTATTTGATTCCTAATGTTTATGCATCTATCAGAATTACACTCTTTCGCTCTCTACTCTTCTGAAATTGGATTGTTCCAGCAATAACCTCAAAGAGATATATGTCCTCCAACACCAAGTAAGTTTACTGATCCGTATTTTTGTTGATTTTTTATGCTTACGACACACCAAAACGTAGAACAAGATTCGGTATAAAAAAAAAATTGTTCAGATGTTATTTTATTCTCTTCAGATTCTGGTAAAAGGACCGGTTCTCAAATGAACCAGGCGATTAAAAGGTCAGGTGAGAAGTGTCCCTTAAAATGAGAAGTGAGAAGTAATCTTAGCCCTTAGATTTGTATCAGATCTTACAACGCAGTAAACTTATTGACTAAATATAGGAACTCATAACCAATAAATCATAACTTATAAAGTTCTCCATAATAATTACGAAAATGCCACCGCGTCAAAAAATTTCTCAGGTTTTCGTAATTATTTTTTTGCGGTGGCATTTTCGTAATAATTTTCGAGGGGTCTATAAATTATGATTTATTGGTTAAAAGTCCTATATTTAGTCTATAAGTTTAACTAGTCATGGACCCGGGCCGGGCCGGTTCCGGTTCCGGGCCGGGCCTGGCCGGGCTTTTTTTTTGGGAAGGAAGGCCCGGGACCGGCCCGGGTAGCCACCGGGTCCGGTCCAGGTCCGGGCCGGGCCTCCGGTTCAGTTATAATTATTTTTTTTTTTTTTGCTTTCCTAACCCCCCCACCCCTTCAAACCCCCAAACCCCTCCTAACCATCAAGCCCAACTTGGCTAACCCCAAAAAAAGAAAAAAAAATTAAAAAAAAAAAATCAATTCGGCCCGGGCCCGGGCCCGACCCGGCCGGGCCGGTTCGCCAAATACAAGGCCCGAGCCCGGACCCGAGAACCGGGCCGGTTCCGGGCTCACACAGTGGCGGGCCGGGCCGGTCCCGGGCCGGGCGGCCCGAATCGGGTCCATGCCTAAGTTTAACTTCACAGTTCTCAGCCTAAGAGCACTTCTCACCTGATCCGCTCCATATATATATATATATTTATATATATTCTAATTTTGTTTGAGCAGGAATTTCAATCTTCTTTTACAATCTTTGATTTCATTTAGTTTAACAGGGAATACATATTTTCTGATCTTTTATTATTATTTTGTCTTATTAGAAATATAACTATTAGTTAATAATGAAGTTAATTGCTACATTGTTCTTTATTAGACTCCCAGTAATTTTGATTTTAAGTTGTTTTCAATTTCTAAAAAAGTTGAAATGGATGAGATAGAAAGGCTTATTATAAGCCGGTATTTCTATACACATGAGAATACACAATAATACTTCTGCCTTGAGAAATTTAAAGCAATGATTTCAAGGGATATCATGTGCTTTTTTTTACCTCTCTAGGCTCTAGCCTCTTCTAATGTTTTGCTTTTGTTATAGATAAATGGATGAAGATCAAGGAGTTGATTGCCACCAGTAAATTTGATTTCTTCTTTTCAGTTGAACCAGGTATTGAAGGTCAAACCTCTAAAGAACATACAAATCATAAACGCACGAAAGTTTAAAGTCAAAGTTCTCTCATAAAATTCTCTATTTAAATACGGAGTAACTTCTGTTACTAATTTATTTTTGGAAAAATTGACACCAATAATTCCACCTTTCATTGGTCTTCTCATAATAATCCCACCTTTACGTAATCCCAGAATAATACCACTTTTGCATCACATCTTCTTTCATTGGACCCTGACCAAGTTTTTTACTCTTTTTTTGAAAATCATATAAATAATCTCACATTTCACTTTCTTATTAAATCTTTATAAATGTAAGATTATTTATATAAGATTTTCAAATAAAGGTAAAAAACTTAGTCAAGGTCCAATGAAAGAAGATCGGGTGAAAAAGGTGAAATTATTTTGGGATTATGTAAAGGTCAGATTGTTACGAGAAGACTAGTGAAAGGTGGGATTATTCTTGTCAATTTTTCCTCGTTCTTCCAATTGCACTTCAAGTTTTATCCACTCTTGTGTTAGTTGTGTATATTGGCAAAATGACAAGCTTCATAAACGTCATTCTTCTATTAAAAATGGCGTTTCATTTGATTCAGTTTAGTAGAAAAGTATGTCAATCATAATTCATAACGAATCTTATTCATATGAACAAGGTATTGGAGGTCAAACTCTAAAGAATACACAAATCATAAACAAATGAAAGTTTAAAGTCAAAGTTCTCTCAGAATGTAGGTGACAATTTACTCTCATAAAATTCTTTTTTTAATTAACTTCTGAGTAAGTTAAGTATTTTTTAAATCGTTCTTCCAATTGCTCTAAGCTGAATGGGGGAATGGGTGATACTCCCTATTTTTCTAATGGATTGAATCTAGAGACTCGCGGTTCATTGGGTTACATACTTACATGAACACAAGGTACAGGTACTTATGGCTAAAAGAATCTAAGGGAAATGGAAAATGTACCTTATTGTATAACTAATACTACGTACTAAATACTGTGATTTTTTAAAACGAAGACAATTTATAATCATCGCCGCATAAACCCCATTGCCTGGTAAACATTTTGGAGAGTGGCATTTGCAACGTTTGCTGCATTCATAGCGCCTTCTGCTAACACTTTATCCAAACAGTCACTATCAGACATTATTTCCTCATATCTAACCTGCAATTTGGTAAAACCCAAGTGATTGACATTACAATAATATAATACGGAGTACTGCGTAGTTCTACAATCAGTTCACTCTCTTCATGAATTATTATTAAATACATATACAACACAATCAATGCTAAAGACTCAGATTAATCAATTCTTTCCACGATATAAAATTTCTAATTCTCACACTGATTCTTACAATCAGCATGGGAAGTACAATGTATCTAGAATTAAATGGTAAGTGGCACTGTACCTATTTGATTTGTATCATTTTGGTACCTCAACTCATCAATGTATGTCACAATGGTACCTTGTAATGCTTAATTTTACATTAATTGACACCATAGGTAATTTCAATCAAATTTGACTATTGTGTAACTGGGATACAATAATTGCCACATTAGATTCAATGCGATTAAAATTTGTAGAAATGTATCTTGTCATTTTATGATCTTTTTTCATAAACCAGCTTCCATTATACACATTACAAGACGCAAGAAATCACTTTGGTGCGGTGGAATGTAATATTTAAAGGAGTAAGTATTTATACCGCATTTTTTGTAAACGCCATTTATATATGGAGTACTATGTTTCCACCCCTCAAAATTTTCCAATATTTATCACGGTTTCTTTACCTAATTAAACCTCACAAGGGGTGGGGGATTTCACTGGGACCTTCTAAGGAATTCATACACAAGCACCTCTAAAATGCCTCATAAGCAAAATAAACATCAACCTGGATAGGATGTAGATGTGCAATTAAAGCATCTGTAAGCAAAGGCTTAAAAGCTCCCCAGCTCATATTTTGGCATTCCTCTGTAACTTCCTGGCAATAAAAAAGTACTACGAAATACATATTGACATATTGTAATATTGATCCAAGAATGTAAAGCCTATTGAGCAAGGTGTAACCTTTTTTTCAAAAGCAGTAAATTAAGAAGCTTGGACTTTGTCGTGTACATACGTAATTAGTCCTTTCTAAAAGCACATTTGTCAATTTCATGCCACGCCAATTTTAAAGTCTAGTTCCTCTCAAATTTCTTAATCTTCTCTGTTTGGTACTATGTTATATAAAGTTTTTCCAATCACCTGCTTTGTCTTGCCCGACACAAGCTGATAAATTGAAAGAAGATTGTTGCATTCTGGTCTATCAGGGTTGTCAAATTCCAAGCTGAAAAATGTAAGACAATAAAAAGGTACAAAAGGTTTAAAAATCCATTCATTCATGTATTGTAAGAATTAGGTGGGGAGGATTCAGCAAATATTCGAATAAAAAATGCTAAATTCCCTCTTACATATCAATATAAATCAAAAGGCTAATGAAAGTATGAAACAATAAATTAAGAGAGAACTGAAAACTAAATTTAGTGTAAACTAAATCTTTTATCTGGAGTTCGTTCAAGTATTTGATAGATATAAATCATAAATAATGACAACTTACCCACTCAATGAGTCAGTCTTGCAACGTTTTATCTTATTTGCTATTGCCTACAAAAGAAAACGACAAATTGACAATTATATGAAAACAATACATGGCAAAACTCTTATCTTATAAACATACATGGCAATACTAAATGATCATCTATTGCTGAGGAAACAAATACTCGTATGACATAAAAGTGGATTCTGCAGACCTAAACATAGTTCCTTTCTGTTTGAAGCAATTTTTCTAAAAGACAAATACCCTATATTAGAAGCTAACAAACATCTCTTATCTTTAAGTTTAATAAATACACCTTTAGTCCCTGTAAGTATAATACTTTTTGTTTTCAATCCGTGCAAAATATTTTTATGCTTTTCATCCTGGAAATATATACTATTTTCATCGTAGTCCCTGTCTAACTCTGTGCCAGTCAGCGTAACTCTATTCCGAACTTCTCACTTTAGTTTTTTAATAACTTTTTGGATATTAATAGTAGTGATAAAACTAAGTGAAATTTATCGCTCAAGTTTTTGTATGTCTCAATGGCTCTGAAAAAAAATTAAGCATTTTTTGAATGAGCTAAAAAAAAAAGACAAAAAACCTGTTAGTCACGTATGTTTTGATATCAAACAGGGTTGTTACTTGTTAGTGTTAGTAAGGGACTAAAAATATAACAACATAAATTACAAAACAATGTGGGGGTCTAAGATGAAAACACTATGGTTGCAGAGAGACTAAAAACATATTTAAGGCTTTTTATAGCATTTTTATAATGAATAAATTTAAAATTTGAAAAATGCCTATGTTCTATCATTCATGCACGTAAACAAATTAGTCTTAAATATTAAACTTCATTTGAGGTTGATAAAATAATCCATTGCAGTTACAGCTTGGGGGTTGTAGGGTCATAAATATTCATTTTATCATTCCTTGTAGAAAATTCAAAATAAAACATAAGTACTTCCAAGTTCCAATTTAAATATTTGCATATATTTATATGATCTATCACTTCTTACTTCTTGCATACAAAAAAACACATTCTGATCTTGGTACTAAAAATAAAACTCATTCTGAAATCTTTAGTAAGAAGTTCTTGAAACATTCAACTAAAGGGGGCAGCCCCGTGCACATCGGCGTCCCCGCAAGACTAGAGTCTGGGGAAGGGTCCCACCACAATGGTGCAAGGGGCAAGGCTTAGCTTGTCATTTTGACAAGAGGCCGCTCCCAAGACTTGAACCAGTGACCTCTCAGTCACACGGCAACACTGTAACAGGTGCGCCAAGGCTCCCTTTCTTTTCAAACATTCAAATATGTAAAACAATTTCAGTCCAATTAAATGTGGTGTTCATAACAGTATAACAACCAAAGCAGTTCAGGATATTTATTCCGAGAACTTAACTTGAACATAGCTATAGAAAACCACAAAAGCGCCATTATAGAAAGTGTCAAAAACATTTCAAAATCTCCATTTGAAGCACAACTACATTTCATATTCTAAGTATTCTGGGTGCATGGTAAAGCAAGTCTGGTAGAACTAGTAGGATTAAAGGTATGTGTAAAAGAAGATTAATATGTGTTTATTGACCACAAATGGTCTTCAGTAGTGGGTGATGAGAGACTAATTGGTCAGGATTGTATTTAAAACCAATCACATTTTTCATAGCTTAGAACAACCATATAGAGACAGAGAGAAAAAACACCACATGCTAATTCATAAGATAGTCATTGAACAGAAATTGTGGGTGTTGATCCTTGAAAATGAGAACCCAAACCACAAGACAATGACTGAGGGGCCAAAAGGGGGTTTTCTAACTGGGTTTTCTAACTAATTTTCTATTTTTTAGAAGATCGTGATGTTCAAACTTATGGAAACAGCATTTATTGAAAGCTTCACAAACAGAAGCTGATAATGAATATGTAACACTGAAACTTACATCTTTTGGATCAAGCAAGTTGATACGAGATTGGTCAGAAGGTGCAGACTTTGACATCTAAGAACAAAAAACCATTAGCAACATAAATAAAGGATGTCTCTAGAAAAGACTAAATATTTCAATATATATGATACGCAAGGCTTTAGTATGAATATTGTTTGAGGGAGATGATAATAAATCCCAGGTGCAAAGAAAAATCAACTACCCCAGGAAAGAACAAGATGCGAAGGGGCTATCCATATTTATATGTTATTATGAAAAAGTCAAGACTGTAAGAGAGAAAAAAGTTCATGTTGACTTAAAACCTTTGAGAGGCCATCAGTAAGGGACATTATTCGAGCTCCAGCAGGTGGAATGAGAGGTTCAGGTACCTGCATGGATGAAACGGATCCTGTAACTATTGTGCCAACTATGACCATGTTTAAGGACAACACAAATATATGAGAAATAATTCACCTTAAATATTGGACCACCTCGCCTGTCACGTGAGGATATCATTAATTCTCAAATAAATTCAACTTATTCAAGGGTAAAGTAAAATTTAAAATTATAAAAAATGGCATGTTCCCCCACCCAAAAGAAAAATAGTCTTCTCTGGTCAAGGTACAAAAACCTACTGTACACTTTTAATTGTTGTCGAACTAATTTATCACATGCACCTTGTAAATGTTTTAGCAACTTACATGTAAATTTTGTTTCATTTGATGAGATAGGACTCCCTTTAGCTACAAGTGTTTTTTTTTTTTTTTTTTTTTTGGGGGGGGGGGGGGAATATCAATGCCATGTAGGTTGACCAAGCCATTATCCAGTTTTAGCTTGGCTTAGTAATTACAGCAGTATTTTTGTGCAAGGATGTGGAAGAGATGTAAACTTACCCTCCCAACTTCTTCCATTTTTTACCTCCATATAAATAGTTAATTCGTTCTGCAAGCTCTCGTGTCAATTCAAGATGTTGCTTCTGATCCTCTCCAACAGGAACAAGATCAGGCTGCAGAAATGGTTTAAATTATTAAATATGAGAGTGTTGGAACTTAAGATATAATGACAACATAAGATTCAGTGATATCTTCTGCAACGCAACAAATGTTACAAAAGAAAATTCAATATACTCATGATGTCATACCAATGAAAGAATAGCTAAAATGATGGAATGGGTGGGCTAAAATTTAGATTCATGCAAACAGATTACTACATGGATATTCCACTGTGTTGCAACTTGCAAGTAGAGAGAAATGACCTGGTATAGAAGAATATCAGAAGCCATCAGTACAGGATAGGTTAGAAGGGCAACCCCAACATTTTCATCTCCCTGGGTACAAAAGGGAAAAAAATCTCATGGGAACTATCAAGAAGAAGAACCAAATGAAGGATGGTGAAATTGTAATATCAATTATTTTTAGTGCACAGAAAGTTGCAGCAAACTCAGTATTACTAAATAATCAGGTTTTGGGCGCTATACTGAGTTCAGTACCACTAGCCACAAGCCCACAAGTACATAAATCTTCAAATTCAGCAGAAGCGGTATAGACTACAAGCCATGTAAATATCTACATAATATATACTATTCTCTAGAGGGGCAAACTTAGATACTTCTTTTAACAACTGTGTTGAGCAAATCCTAAAAGCACAATCAGTGTTTTGGATAAGTCTGTCAGGAGTGTCGCATAGATTCCTCTGGGTGTTTTATTGCAGATGAAACTTAAAACTTAAAAGTTTTAAGTTTGCAAATTCATCATCACTATATACTATAGTCAGGGCCGGTCCTGTATACTTTTGGGCCTATAGTCTATAGCCATGCCATTACAAGATTGATAATGTAACATAAACGGGCAAATAACAAAACATGACCAACCATTACATAAATAATACCTGATCAAGTTATCATATATATAGGTTTATCAATATCTTAAAAGTTTAACACAAATATGCAAATGGAATGCTTCAAGGTCTTCTTGGCATCTTTGTCTCATACAGGGTCATTTGCCAAAAATGGAACCTGAGGATCCTCTATTGAAACTAAACTTTCTGTAACTATTAATATACTCCCTCCGTATTTTTTGTTTGCTACACTTTCCTTTTTTGGATGTATTTAAAAATTTGCTACACTTTCCCTTTTTGGTAAATTTTTCCTTTAAAATACATTTTATCTCCCCCTTACTTTTAAAAATACTCAACTACCCTTACTTTTTCTACATTTTATCTCCCCCTTCATACTTTTCCGCCACCTCTCCTACTTTTTCTACACTATTCATTACCCCTACTATTTCACTCTTAAAAAATGTGCCAACACCTATTGTAGCAAACAAAAAAATACGGAGGGAGTAACTAACTATTATATTAATACATTGATTAATGATATATTATGGAATTTAAAAAGTTGACCAAAAGGAATGCTCCCATTGCATCTTCCAACATCAGTAATTCATCAAAATAGAGCCTCAGGCTCCACTACGAAAGGGGAGCCTTACTCACATTTTTCCTCTTTCTACAGACTGAATATACTTCAATTTATTTTTATTTTACAAAAACCTCATTTTGTCTTTTGAGTTGTGCATGATACATCGTTGGACTTTTAATCCTTTTAGTCCTTTGAGTTGTGCACCTTTGATCTATTCCCATCAATCATTGGCAAATCTAGAGAGACCAATTTGAGTATGGTTTTACGCACATTCAAAAGGAACACAGTGCTCCCTCTAATTTAAAACAATAATGAGACTGGTTTAGATTTAATAGTAAACCATTCAGCCCTTGGTTTTAGCACACTGTTCAATATTAGATTATGAGATTTTGAACTAAAAGGGAAGAAACTGTTTGGCATGTAGAAGGGCAGGAGTAATTGGAATCAGATAACTAAGACAGAAAAACGTTGAGATGATCAATAATACATAAGAAAGAGATTACAGAAGCATATTCCAATTTACAAGTTTACAACATACCGCCTTCCGTGATTTCTCTTTAAATTGAATCATTTTATTGAGCCAACCAATGGGAGTGGCAGCACTCAGTAGCCACATCAATTCTACATGAGCAGCAACATGCGACTGTACAAAAACTGTAGCCTGCACACACAGTGACATAAACCAGAGATTTGAAAATTGTGGCAGCTGACTCATAAGATGATATGGGCATCCAGAATCCAAATCCTTAGATAACTGAAGATCCAACCTTCGTAGGGTCCACACCGCAAGCTAAATAAAGAGCTGCTGTGTCCTTAGTTGCTTTAAGTAAATGCGGTGCATCATATGGCAAAGTTATCTGCAAAAATCATCAATAAATCCAAAACGCAAGCATACATACCTGGGCTTACTCCCAGAAAAAACTAAATACTAGAGCTTGTATGATAATTATCATCATCATTATTATTAAATTATTATTGACATCATCCTCATCGGTATTATTGAAAAGAAGAGATTCTTTTACATAAATATTAGAAAGGTGGATAAATTCTACTCATGGAAAGTTCCTGACAACTACCTAAGTGAAAAACTAATTACCAAAACAAACAAATAAATGATAATAGCCTTTCAGATTTAAGTTAAAAGGTCTACATATACCATCATGTAAATTTTAGCATCGTGATCTTTTACAAGGGCTTTACATTGACCAACAACACTTTTAACTATTGTAACAAAGATCTTGACGAGATCATATTGGGCTTGTGAATCTTTTTCTAACAACCCAAAATCAGTAGTAAACACCAACTTCAGCGTGACCATAACCAGCTAGACAGCTATTATGATAACTGATTTGGCATTAACCCAATAAAAACTATTTAAAGCATAAACATAAGAAAAAATTACACAAATATTACTACTTTAAATCTTTCTAACAAAAATATGACTATTGTTTACAATAACAAGGTGGTCATTGTTTTGTAAAGCCAAGCATTAATGGTAATATTTATATAAAAAACTCTAAACATAAAGGTGATATTGACAATGTTAAGGAATTTCATTTTTTCATATAATATCTCCCTATCGCAATTGTGAAACGATGAAAGAAATGTCATTCCAGGTTCCAACTTCCAACAAGAAATGAAAACTATGCAGTAAGTCAGTAACAACATTTGATAATTAAGAGCATTGCTTAAGTAAGCATACCGCATGAAGGTCTACAATGAAGAAGAAAGTGTCATGCTTATCCTGCAAAGAGTAAATTTGAGATGGGAGTGACTTAGAGAGTATCAATAAAGTGCAGTACGCCAAATTTATATTAAAAATGAGTCAAACAAGTCCTCTTCCCTCCAACTATCCCCTATTTAGCTATGATACACCACTGATTCCTAGACCTTACAGCTAGGCATTCAAACTCAAAAAAAGATGCAATTCAGCCCTTTTTACCTGTTGCCAACAGGTTGCCAATGTTATACATATGAAATGGAATATTATTGCTGGTGTGGAATAAGCTCCTTGATCCTACATATCCAAGACCGCCCCCACCTTCATAATCGGGAGAAGATGATGATGATATACTAGTAGGAAAAGTTCGTGAAAAAAAGTTATCATCCACTGCGAGGATTTTCAGACTCCCCTACCTCACCCCGGTTTTATGTTGAGAATACTTTTGTCTACATACAACTCTGTAATCATTTGACACTTCGAGTGGAAGAATGCATTTCACTTTGATTACATTATATTCTGTAATTCAATATTGGTGAACGTGGGAGAAAATTTGGGATTGTGGAGGATGAAAGCAGAATTAAGAGTGGGAATTTTTTCAAGTAGAGCTTGTTGGCAAAGGTGTGATAATGTGGTAGTGATGTGGCCACTGACCTGAAGGTTATATGCTATTATACCTAATCGGGATCCAATTGCTATTGTTAATCGGTTGGGATACTTAGTTGTAAGGTCATTATGTTAGGGGATCCAACTTCTAGCTCGTGAATAGTTGGAGTGCTTATTTGACCCTTTTCCCTACTAAAACCCCCCACAAAAAGCAGTCATACTTCCAAAAAAATGGGGTCGGCTAATCATATTGAAAAAAGGTTACAAAAAACATTCCCATAGTCCAAAAAATCCAAATATAATGAAATGACAACTCTATCTGCATAAACTATCCTCTAAAATCTTGCAGTAGATGCAGAAAATTGTATATGCAGGCATTTTCATATCCATTATGCCATATGTTTATGTTCACCTCATTCTGATAAAAAATGTTTGCTATCGATGTTATTAGTTAATAATAGTGATTTGAAGCATCGGGTCCTCATAAGCCAAACAATGCACCACACTCTTAAATTGGACACTAAGTCACAGTTGATCACAAAGACATCTATTAGTGGGAGCTTCAGAAAGCTTGCTACCCTTATCAGGAGGGGAGAGTTCCAAGTGAAGAATATTTTTACCATTAACCGAACATTTGAAGGTAGATATGGTGAAGATTCACAACCAACAACAACAACTACTGCTAATCAATCCACTATTATTACAAAACTAAAATCCTTACAGTAGGCATGAACATGAATTCAATTAAATGGATTGCATTTGACACGTTAGTAAAAAACCTGCAACTGGATCCAATTTTTTATGGCACCGAGATAATTCCCAAGGTGTATAGACCCTGTTGGCTGTACACCAGAGACTATTCTCTTCCTGTTACATTCAGAAAAACAAAACTACATTTAGTAAATACTTTGGATTTTCAGTGATTGCACAAAAGAGTGAAATTGTGATTCATTCAATTGCATTAATTGAAATGTAATGTAATTTGTTTAAATGTATTAATGAAGTCCCAGCTCAATGAGAAAATGAGCATATATAATTAAGTCATTAACTAAAATTCTATATGCATGCATTCATAATATGTTACAGTTCTATTAACTTCCTCAGTCACACTCACAGCCAGAAAAAAAAAAAAAAACCATATTGATTAGAATTGAATGGGGTTAACCGGTCAAGTTCATACTTTTCTCGAAAATGGATTAAAAATGGGCATTCAGAAAATGATAAATCAAATCAACTGAAGACAGTTGAACTTAACCGTATAAAATACATTTTTTATATTCTGCTTATTTAGTTATCATGTCAAATCCACAGTCAATACATAGTTTCAACATATTTCATATACTCTCTAGCCTATTTAGTATCAAGTAAGCCACACTCATTACATAGTTTCAACAATCTTTCATATAATCTCTATCAAGTCACGGCTACTGCCAATAATTGCTAATTACTCCGTAGACTTTAACAATTCAGGTTTAAGTATGCAGTTATGGACAAGACACGGATTTGTGGCATTACCCCCTGGCAAGAAGGCATCATAGTTGATGAATGATAAGGGCTTAAGGCTAAATTTATATGAAATATTTCTCATTAACCTTCAATCCTTCATATATTTGCAGTAGAATTCAAAATGTCATTACTTTACAGAGCTCGGAAGATTCTCGGAAACAGAAGACTCAGATATAGGGGTGCTGCAAAGGCACTGGAAACTTTGACTATGGATCTGAGGAATCAATCCTGGTCTTCTTAACCTGTTCCAGGAAAACACATATATAAATAAATGAAAACCAAATGTATAAGGAGAGTATGCTGAATACAATACAAGCACATATACAGAAAATGGATGACATATAGAAATAAATTTTCCATCTGTCCCAAAATGGTCCCCAATGGCCTTCCCCATTCAGTTTTTTTCATTTCCATTTTAAGGAAAGAATTGGCGGGTTGTGTACATTGATTCTTCCCTTCTAAAAAATAAATATGTTAACTACCTGGAGTTTTGTTGGCAACTTGGCATTAATGAAGACAATAGGTTGTTGAGGACATGATGGCAAAGCTTGGAGGAAAATAAACATGGAACAAGGGTTGGAAAGTTATGGTGTTTCCTTCTCCTTAAAAAACCTTTCTATGTTTCTATTAATTCATTCCTTGATGATTATTTAACAGAGCAGAGCTCTGTTTTATAATAGGGATTACGTGCATAGAAGTACCTAAACTATGAATGGAAGATATCCTAGCAAAGTACTTCCTAAATAGATAAGCTGCCTAATATATTAAAATCAAATTAAAATTAAGGCAACCAACTACATTGGAGAAAATCAATCATTCATATCATTCTCCTAAATTTTTTGGTTGATTGTTTTTATTTCTTACCATGATCTTTTAAGGTAGCACGCATCAAAATCTACACCATACAATTTTATTGTGTAAAGATAGTGTACAAAGAAAATATGAAGAATTGTTGGAGAGAAGGTGACTAAAGGAGTGTTTGCAAGAGCTTTCAAATAGTGCTTTACAGCTTGTTTTTGCTTAAAAAACTGAAATTGTTGTTTCTAGTTGGCAGTTTATGCTTAAATAATGACTTTAAAGCTAAAAGCTTGAAGCAAGTGGAAGGTGCTCTTAACTGTTTTTTCACGTTTACTATTATACAAAAAAGTTTTTTTTTACCAAACACTACTAACTTTTACTTTTTCATAAACATTTTTTTTTCAAACGCTACCCACTTCTACTATTAAGTACTTTCTCTAAACTCACTTTAAAAAATCACTTTTTTAAAGTAGAAGCAATCACAAACGCTCCTTAACTAAAGAGTTAGAGACAATGTACACTGAAGAAGAGAAGCGGGGAGCAGTGCTGTTGAGGATAAAGAGTTGTGAGAGAAGAGAGCGCCCCATCAGTGCCTGTGAGCTACTGAGCTTGACAACGTTGAGGGGCAAAATCAGTGTTATCAGTAGCAGATGGTGATTTCTAGCGGCAAGACAAAAGTCCCTTACAATTATATGGCCAATGACATTGCTGCGTATAGTGGAAGCATGGATGGCTGCAGATAAGTTTCATAATCACAGCCAAAACAAATAATAACCAAGACAGCAAAACATACTTAATCAACTGCGGAGTGCTAAATAAAAAAGAAATCTCTATCTTTAAACATGCTAGGAACTTCAAAAAGATAGTAAATAAGGAAAAAAGGAATTTGAAATCTACCTTTAAATAAATCAACATAAACTAGGGTCAGTGAGTGCTCAAACCAATGGCGGAATACTGAAATGCTACTTAAAAGTCCCTTCTTGAGCCCACCAGCGGCCTTATCTATTTAATCTATTTAATATATAAAAGCAAAAGATTTTTGATGAATAGGGTTCCCTCTCAAAAACTTGAAGTCGGACACCAGATACGACGGAGACCTTCTGCCCGCGAAATACCTTAGACGAAGACCGGAACTGGAACGCTGGCAGCTACCTCAGCAGACGGGCGCACCTCCAGCTCATGCTCTGTGAAGTTCTCTCGGTCTGTTTTTTTTTCTTATAGCTGTTTGATTTGGCCGATTCTGTTGATTTTAAGGGTAAAAAAATTAAAATATATTTTATTAATAAAAAAAATATATGTAAAAATAGTTAAAATGGTCATCTACAGTAACTTCAGCCAATACAGCCAGAAAAGTAACTTCAACCTTACTTTTTCTGCTTATTATACAATTCAGCGCGCGAAAGCAAAAGTTACGTGTTTAGCGAAAAAGATGAGTGATAAGCATGATAAGCCGAAAAAAAGTGGTACTAAACGGCCTCTTAATCTTCCAGATCTGAAATTTTAAGATTTTTTCCTACGATCAAAAAAAAAGATTTTTTCCTAATTTCCTTGTTCATCTTTTGAAATGGTAAACTTCTCTCCAAATTCCTACCAAAAATATGAGATATAGCTCTCAATGACAGCATCAATGACGGTAGAAAATAATTCGAATTGAGAAACTAGCAGCATTTCACTAACCCGGTTACAGGAGGATTGCCTCTATATGGCGTTTGCGGTAAGTCCAATAATAAAAGGCTACATGGGCAAGACTCAATCTAAGAACGGATACTAACGGTAACGCGCCAGCCGGCCCAACTAATAAGCAAATAATCTCAGACTGATTTCTGCTAGTCGGGATGTGTTCTGAGATTGGTCGGGTCAAAGCTCGGGTGTAATAGGGCGATAGTCTTTAACTCGGTCCATAATCCCAACAAAAATAAACTCAACCTAAACCAATACATGAAAAAAAGAATAAAACAACTAAAATGTTCAATAACTTTTTAAAATATTTAAAAATATACTCCCTCCGTCCCAGGGAGAAGTTCCCACTTTCCTTTTTTGGTAGTCCCAACAAAAAGTTCTCATTTCCCTAAATGGAAAGTTATCCTACATCAAAACAGTGTCAAACAGTGCAAAACAGAGCCAAACAGTGTCTAAACAGTGCCAAACAGTGTTGAAACAGTGCCAAACAGTAAAATTTACCCCTCAGTAACTTTATTTCCTAAATATGTGTGAAAGTCAACCAGGGAACTTCTCCCTGGGACGGAGGGAGTATGTAATAATAAATCCAATCCGAATTGAATCAAACCAAAACAGACATAGAATGACCTTGTTTGGTAATCAGTTATTAGTTGTTAGGTGCTTACTAGGATTTGTATTAGCTATTTTGACTTTTTATTAATTGTTTGTATCCGTTTAGTAAACTTGGTTGTTCAAGAAACGTATTAATAAACTACAAAAAATACGGGGTGTTACTTGGATTAACTTGGCTAGTACCAAGATACTAACCGGGGTGCTAATATGAGATTATGCTAGGATGGATCTTAAGGTTGGATTGTCAGATGTTGTACCTTGAGTATTCTTAAGAGATACATTAATTAAGGTGACTTAATTGATAAGGTAGAAATGTATAAACTCTAATTGATCCTAGATATAGCCATATAGGATTGGCCTACGAGTGTTTCCGCTAATCCTTGAGGTTAGCCGGGGTGAATGATGGTAAGAAGTAAGGACCATGGCCCAACCCAACTTTAGAGAGCGTGTCCGACAACCGGAGATCCTACGAGACTCCCGACTTTGGTAACACTTAAGATGGGACCCAGAATGGACTTTACCTTCCTACCGGAAGAAGGGTATGAGCTTAGGGGTGGGTTGTTAGACACCAGCCCGAGGACCTCACAATGCCTCTGACAATGGTGACAACTCACAAGTCCCGTATGATTGATAAGACCTACGGGTTGTATCGTATGTACGATAAATGAAATGGAATACTAAAGGGGTCCACGTGTCGACAAATTTACTTATTATATGAATAAAAAGGATAAAGAAGATTTATCACCTATATTATGATATCGCCCTATTTGGGGGTCTTGGGGATTGAAACATTGATTATATATTGTACAATTGTCATTGTATTTCTCAAATGCTTCAAAGTATTGACCTCCCCTTTCTAGGAAGGCCGCCTCACAGTTTCAGGTAGAAGTTAGAGCTTATTACCAATAATTGTTGCTTTGGGAGGATCTTGGAGAGAAGACTTCGTCAATGCTTCCTTCGTTTCAGATTTCAGAACAATTATAATAATGTTCATGAATAGTATTTTCTTATAAACTATTTAGGGGCTTGCATGATCTAGTTTGCCCGGCGTGGCTTGAACTCTTATTGTATTATTTTCGCTGCTTGACCTTATGTTTACACTGTGTTTGTTTATGGATGTACTATGTGAGAATAATATACATGATACCTAGTATAATACGAGTATGCTTGACATTGGTTGTCTTATTCAGACTGTACGGTGATTGTGATGTGCCCCGGTAGGTCCATGGCGTGACACACACACACACACACCTCCACCATTAATAATAAGATCCTTATCTTTAATTTCTTGCTTCAAACTTTTGAGCCCGGTATAACTTTAAACTTTAAACTATAGTTAATTGGTCTCCTTTGCACCATGAATAAAGACTGTAGTAATTTTAGTATGCAGGATTCTTCATCACAATTTCTTTCTAACGACAAAATGTTAAATTTGTAATAGTAATTGACTAATGGTGTTAATTAGCAGTTAGCACTTAGCACAACTTAAAATATCTTCTTATTTGTAAAATTTGGTTCTTAAGCGATTGTTTTCAAACTGTTGAACGATATCTCCAAACATAGAGAGTATCTTTGTAAATGAAATTCTATTTGTCACTAACTTATTACTACGGTAGCTATAAGAAATAAGAATATGATACCTATTATACATTTTTTTTAGGGTAATACCTATTATACATTTGATTGGTCTAAACATAATTTCTTCATTTATTCATGTTTAAATTATCCGGTTATAATATAATAATTGATTCACACGAATAAGTTATATTGTCTTGAGAGTATAAAAAATGTCTTTATACTATTCCCAATATCCATTTAAAATGTATTGCTACTATATTAACACCCCAATTATTTGTATCATTAATATGATCATTAATATCATTAAAACTATTGTCTTGAGAGTATAAAAAATGTCTTTATACTATTCCCAATATCCATTTAAAATGTATTGCTACTAATTAACACACCCCAGTTATTTGTATCATTAATATTAATATGATCATTAATATCATTAAAAACCCAACCGACCATGATATAATTGTAGTCCTCCCATTTAATAGATATTTAAAAAGATGATAATAATTAGATTACACAATCATAAGTCACGAAATGGATCCAGTATACCGGTGGGCGTAGCTCAACTGGTAGCAAGGGAGTGCCACAAGGGTTAGGTCTCGGGTTCGAATCCCGGCAACTGCGATGAGGGGTTACTATGCTGAAAAATGCATAGGGTCTCTGCAAGTACCAGGGACAGAGCCCCACTCTCTATCTGTCAGATTGTGATTATAGTCCAATTTACATCCTCCCATCGTGTCGTCCGGTCGGTGGTGGGGGGCCCTCAGGGATGGGGTGTCATCCTTTTTTTTTTTTACGAAATGGATCCAGTATCAAACTGGCATCATTCTAAAAAGCTTTAATTAAAGTAAATGTAAGGATAAACTAGACCTAACGGTATACTAGGGGTTACTTCGCTGCTAAAGTCACAGTTAGCTTAGAAGACGGGTGAAATAACACGCACACTGCTTAAAAAGTCACTTACTAATCGGAAAAAGTGCTTAAAGTGCCGCTTACTAAGCATACCACCCGTCATGTATTAATTAAGCGACACTTTAAGCTTTTTCAGTTTCTGAATTTACCCTATGCCCTTACCTTATCGTTACCCCTCTACCCGCAACCCCACATACCCACCCTGTCCTACCCTACTACCCCGACCCCACTACCTCCATCTTCATACCTTACCCCTTACTCCTACCCTACTCGACCATTACCCCACCCCCACCGTGTACCCCTTTTCCCTACAACGACCCCCCACCCCTACCACATGCCCCCCACCTCGGCCCCACCCCGACCTACTCGACCATTACCCCACCCCCACCGTGTACCCCTTTTCCCTACAACGACCCCCCACCCCTACCACATGCCCCCCACCTCGGCCCCACCCCGATCCATACCCACCCTACCCCTACCCCTACCTCGGCCCCACCCGAACCCACCCTACTGTGGGGCCTTTACCACCCCTACCCTACCCCTAACCCCCTACCCCTTCCCCTACCCCCTACCACATTGGCCCACCCTCTTACCCTACTCCTACCCCTACACTACCATACGTATCTCACCCCGACCCCACCCACCCCTTACCACTACCCTACCCACGGGCCCTTACAACCCTACCCCCTACCACATCGGCCCCACCACTGACCCCACTACCCCTACCCTACCCCTACCTTACCCCGACCCCACCCCATCCACTACTTACCCCTAGGCCGCCCTTACCACCCCACCTTAATCCCCTACCACATCGGCCCCATCTCGACCCTACCCCTAGGCCCTTACCGTACCCCAACCCCCTACCACATCGGCCCCACCCCACCCTGGGGGTAGGATGGCGGTAGGGGTGGGGCCGGGATCGGGGTGAGGTCAATGGCATGTGGTAGGGGTTGGGGGAGAAGGTGGGATCGGGGGTGGGGCCGATGTAGGGGCAAGTGGTGGGGAGTGGGGCAGGGTCGTGGTTAGGAATGAGGGTGGGGATTGTGGGTAGGGTGGGGTCGGGGTAAGGTAGGGTAAGGGTAGGTTAGGGATGGGGTATGATAGGGGTAGAGTTGGGTTGGGGTAAGGTAGGGTCGGGGGTAGGGTGGGTCGGGTAATGTAACACCCGGGGTCCGCAGAACCTGAGGTAGTTACTTCGGACCAATAGTACTGTCCCCACAAACCACCACGAGCCTTTACCGCGCACTTTGTGCTCACTCATTCGCGCCCTGAGAAACTTCCCAGGGGGTCACACATCCCAATACTACTCCTGAGCAAGCACGCTTAACTTTGGAGTTCTTAGCGGATGAGCTCCCTTAAAAGGAGATGCACCTCTGTT